AAATGCTTTGTGAATGCTTGGTAAGGCATAGTTTAACATGACAGACGAAAGCACAACAAATATTCATTGGGATCGAAAGATGAGCCGAAAACTTCTTGTCACATATGTAGAAAAACTGGGTTTCTTGTCACATATCCAGAGTCACAACTCCATGTCTTTGGTTTCTAATAAAGGCAATTTACAAATCATTTCAGCAGCCTTCTCAGGAGTAACAAAATGAACAAAAACGTAGATTTATTAATTGAGTTTCGAAACCCAGCCTCTGTTCACAGCTAGGAGTATTAGTCTATCCTATGACGGAAATCGTCAGAGCTTGCAAAAACTTCAATCGAACACTAAGTTAAGAATACTAAACGGCTTTCTTAAATGCTAATTATACTCTCAACAAAAAAGGATAAATAGTATAATCAGTATAAGTAGACTATATTTATGGAGGGGCCAGTTAGTCTTTCTGACTTACAGTACGCTTGAAATTTTTGTAAGAAAGAGAACCAGCTCTGATAATGGCCGTCTAGTGGCATTAATGCAAGCTCAGCCTGCTTTTATTTGGGCCGAACGAGAGGTTCGTTAGGCTGCGTCAGACCGAACTTAATATTAAGACCAGGCGACGACATGAAAAGAGAAATTCGCCATCGTCTTCTGTTGAGATAGACATTGGAACTTCTTCAGGCAGTTGCACAGAAAATGTACGTCACCACAACAATACTTTACAGTTGCTATGATTGTGCTTTTCGTACTTATGAATTATGCCGTAATTGCCATCAATGCATCGCCTCCCGACCTCGATTAGTCAGGGCAAGCCGTCAGTTAATCCTTCGTATGCCATACTCTGGATGAGAAAAAATAGTTAAATTCTCATTAGATATAAAAAGAAAGATTCACCCGTTACTTCCCTAATTTTTATTATTAAATAATAGAAACAAATATACTAAGGCACAAAATAAGTCCACCTAAGTTTATTATTTTAGAAAGTTATATTTTTGTAGGTTTCGAAGAATCCCTCAATAGATTGATGCTGGAGTACCTGTAATTTCGTTTGGAGGAGCGAGTGAGAGGGATTGGTAAATTGGCCTCACGGGAAGCTGTAGAGGGATTGCCTTGAGGCTAAGACTAGGTTTGTGCGAATAGGTCCTCGGAGCACAGCCATGCGGACCTGATGAATCCTTGTTGATCTTTCGTTCGTCATGTGACGGACTTCTTCAGATCAGAACACCAAAACACGAAGACAAGAAAGGTTTTTCTACATACCTACAAATGCTTTGTTCTCAATTCGTCGTGGCTAGAATCACTATCAGTTTGGTTAACGACATGCGAAACTGGGGGAGAGAGCTATTTGGACTTAAGGTGAGGGAATGGGCTTAAAAGTACCTTCCAATGATTGGGGCCTTCAGTTCGTCAAAAAAGTTGGGTGGAATTTTTCGCAAAATTACTTCCACCAGAATCCAAAATAAGAGTGGTTTCGATTTGTGATGGTCCAGTCGAGCTGCTAAGTTTTCAGCGCTAAGTAGACTAAGTTGAACTATTAGAAGTAGGTGGGTTTGAAGCCAGCCATCTTTGTTGTCTTCGTGCTTGGGTGAAGTATCGTCAAGTGTGGTGTCCTGCTCTGACGATGTCCGTCACATGACGGACGAAGGCTCAGCAAAGATTCATCGGGGTCTCATGTCCGTGATCCGAGGACATATTCGCACAAATCTACCGTCACAGTTCCAAAACAATACCCTTACAGCTTCCGGTGAGGCTAACTTACGAATCCCTTCCACTTGTCTCTTCAACCATAAGTTCTGTTTTCGTTTCATAAGCGGGTTTTTCGAGACTCCCAGTAGAAGTCTTGTTGAGGTTTTTGCAAGAAATAGTTCTAGCTTTGACGATATTCGTCATTTTACGAATGAAAGATCAGCCCGTCTTTGCTCGAAACAATGGAGGATGGCTCATGGTCTGCATCAACCTGACGTAATAGTAAAGCTAAACGGATGCGTTACAAAGGAAATTTGCTGTCGTCTTCTGGCGAAATCGATCTACGAATCTCTTCATCATACACTTTCATACTAAATTATAAGCTTTACAACAACGTGAGAACAAATCGAGCTAACCGTCACCTCGCATTCGATAAACTTAAGAGGATTGCATGATTGCCGTTCTGACTTAGAGGAAATTTCGCGAACTAATAGGCGACCTCAGCGCCTCTACATCCACATTGGAAAGTAGCCATGAATGTGTCATAGGACATGCGAACGATTGTGGCAATCCGCAATCATAGCTAACTGAGCCTCGTTCTATATTCCAGACACATGCAACGGAATTGTAATACGTCATACCTTCGTATCGCATGGGATCGTTGCCAGGATTATGTTGGAACATTTTTCTTATGCTTGAACTCCGTCGCCAACTCAGAAAAGTATAAGGGCACGGAAAGGAAATTCATGAAAACAACAAATGAAGTGTGAACGTGTGCGATTACATGAGGCAATAAAAGTTGTCACGACATCATGTTCACGCATTATATTGTCTGCTCCAACCCCCGATTGGCGACAGGATCCCTTGAGCCTGGCAATAAGGCTGGATCAGCCAATCGATACCCACATACGAGGTACGGTGCTCGAGAGGCAAGTTGCCACCAACGCAACCTTGCACAAATATCGGCTCACCAGGATAGACTGGGGAATCGTTGTTTAAAAGGTCACAATGCCTGCCACACCGGCGTTCGCGTATGCGTACTCATGCCCCAAGATACGATGGAGCTGATTGCATGCGCATGCGAGCCTGTGAATGCAGCAAGAAATACTTATAGGCATAACTGCACAAGAACACATACATTTTGGACATGTACAGCTTCGTTAAACTCAGCGGGCATCCTACGCTCGTAGTCCAAATCCCCGTTCGCTTATTAAAGCAACCTCACGTGACCGTTGCTTAATATCACCTTAGCTAAATCTACCGGCCGATTAGCAAATAAGTACCCTTCCTAACCTCTGACCCCGGAAAGAAAGTCGTGTTGACCGGCCTACTACCCGGCTAAGCCGAGCTAAAGAGACAGAGCAATTTAGCTGAATTTACCGGAAAGCAGCGGAATGCTGGGGGGAGTCAACACGTCCCACTGGCAGACTGACCGAGTGGAGGCGGGTTGCCAAACTTCACGCTATGCTAAAGATGACTGCCCCCGCTTTTGGGCCAAGTATCGACTAATTATTGATCGGTGAATAAGATTGCCCAGTGGCTGTTTGGTCTGCTCGTAAGCCTGTCGTACGCATGGTATCAGTGTGTGTGCAATTCGACTAACACGTAGGCTCACATGCAGACATCTGAATGGTCAGCCGTTCTGCCTACGTAAACCCAATTGCGATGGTATAGGCAGAGCGAACCGGCGAATCCGGTCGCAGCTGGCTGTGTGCCGAATCCCGGCGGCTGGTTTTTCGACGGCCCACGACTGCCACAATCCGGTCAGGTTCAATCCGGTCCCATCCGATCCGTCCTCTCGTCCCACGAGGACAGGCCAGTAGGCACCACGGGCCGGGCCTACAGACAGGCAGACAAATGGACATATGGACAGATTTACAGGATGGAGGAATTGAGTGCGCAAGCCGGAGACCGAGAGTGAGAGAGCAAACTCTAACGCTGCGCCCCCCAGAGCCGGGAACTTGGCTTGCTTCAGCCTGGCCCGCGCCTCCTCGGGCCGTCCCGACCTCAGGTCTTACGGTTAGGTTGATCAGGCAATCAGGCAGTCAAGCCGTCAGACCGTCAGACCGTCAGGCAGTTTGCCCCAGCAGGCCGGCATAGCGGCCGTCTGTGACATTGTGCACACATGCACAAAACCGCCAGTCAAATAGTTGCAGACACCGGATGAGGGCAACTCATCATTGGCCACGCCCTTTTAAAGCTGGCTGCACAGAAAAACAGGACATCAGGACCAGACACAAAAACTCACGCAAACGCACGCAGGCATCCATAGACAGAAGCAGAAGCAAACTGACTGCCTTGGCTTGAATCACCTGATGCTGGGTTAAACTGGTGTGCTTTAGCTTGCCTGTCTTTGCAACGGTCTGACTCCTGCCGTTCCGCTTCTATTGCTTCGACGACTGTAGCCTTGTTCGGTTTAGAGTCTGGCCTATTGTCGGGCGCACACGTCTCTGAGGCAGACGCATGCGCCACTCATGCTAAACCATCAATCAGCACAGCACCCGGTAGACCGAGCGTCTATCGACTCTGGCTCACCTACTCCCACGATCCGCCCAACCGGGTTGGCTGAACTGAGCCAGTTCGCTCTTATTAGTTCATTCGCCTCGAAAAGTGTAACCTACCATTGCCACCACCGCCACCGGCACCGCCACCGGCATCGCCACCCACGACACAACTGCCCCATGTTTTTCTCGCACAGATCCGCTTGATATTTGTCCGAGCGCCGCTGATACGGCTTGCACGTGAATGTGTCTTTTGCTGACTTGGGATCTGCTCCGCCAGCCCAGTCAGGCTGTACTTGGTCCACGTTTCAGTTTGTCACGCCTGCACTTCTAACAGTTGAGCTTCGGTGTGGCTACAGGACTCGCCGACTTGTGAACTCGGAATTTGGGCCCTCGTCCGGCGGGAAGGGTTTTATGAGACGTGTTTGTCACGTGGTTTTGATCCGGTACCTACACGATTGTGTGTTTACGTCTGTTTTGAAGAACTCAGGCAAGAGGTCTCTTCGGCAGGAGGGAAAGTGCGAAAGAGGCTTGCTTATCCCTTCCG